GCCGCGTGAGAATCAATCAAGGAAACAAATCTCCTTTATTTGATCTCCATTCATCTCCTGTCACACTGTTACGACCGACATTCTTCCAATTTACACAACCTGGTCTCTGTTCAATTTTCGCTGGTATCAAAAAGAAACATTAACCAAGAGAAATCTCTCAAAACGAGGATACGAGGAAAGTATCATATATGTAATACTATCAGCCAGAAATCTGAAAAAACAGACCCACTTTGGTTCTTGTTGGTGTCGTGAAAACGAGATCAATCATGCCACATATTTCTCCCCACGATCCCGACATACACGTACGATCGTTGGCTCTCGCTCCCAATCTTCACGGTTGACAATTATTGACACGATCGTCGGTCATTAAGGATCTTGTAGCTACAAGAGCTCTCGCTCAGAAAACTCGTGTCTTTTTTCAAGCGATTCCGACAGCGTCAACTCCCACCAAGCTTGTTCTCGTCGTGAAGGTATTCATCCCCGCGGCCAGCCGTGGATAGCCATTAATTGGCCCCGTTCCTCGAGAAACCGAGGAAAACGTTCTAGTGGTGGCAGCCGGGCACGGCCGCGTCCCTCTCGTTATAGTCGTCGCGTGTACAAACAGGATCTGGTAGTGGTTGTGGCGATAGGTTGGTAGGGGCAAACCCTAATGAGGATCCCCTACCATAGACTGCCGACCGGCCGCCGCAAAGTAAATGAGCAGGTGCCTCTGGTATGCGCCCCGCCTACGCTTTCCACTTGCTCTTGTCCTCCACCACGAGTTTCTCGGGTGTCTTTTTCTTTCCCTCTCTTTTTTTCTCCCCATGCCACGCAGCCAGACCGAGCGTGTCGCGGAAAAGTGGTTCTTGATATACTGCCGAAGTCTACAAACCCGCGGACAGATTATGTTCGTATATATCTTTTTTTTCTCTGCCTTTCTTCCCTTTTTATTTTTATCGTCTCTCTCGATCGATCGAACCGATTGCATTAGGGCGCATTAGGCCGGGCCGGTATCATAATTCAGGATTAATTTTTCAAAGGGTCGGGACACCGTGTCTTCGTTAGCGAGTTGCAACGTCGTACTAGCAAGATTTTTATGTTGAGAACTTGTTACAGTGTCGGTTAATCTGCGACTGGTTTTTCGATGTTGCCAATGAATCCTGTGTATCTCGGTAATTAACATAATACAGCGATTTTGGTAGCGACAATGTGATGGTAGGATATTTGAAGGACCGATCTGTTCAGGGTGATTTGCACGTTCGACCATCGTCGGTCGTTAGACTTTTCAACCTTGAAAGACCTTCTCAAGGTGAGGAGACGCGGTGACATGTTCGGCTATATCGGGAGGAGAGTTCTCGGAGCTAGACTCCTCTTCTAGGGTATATACGTGGCCGTGAAGTGGTCTTCGAGACAGAGCAAACGCGCGCGCTTTTTAATACACTGGCCGGTACCTCGGCTGCGTGGACACGCACGAACGTGCGGACGCACCACGTGTTTGCTTAAAATCTTGACGCATGACCGGCCGATTTGTTTTTCCATTCGCAGGGCCGCGGCTACTCACGGTGTTAATCGAACACGTTCTATTATAGAATCTAATATGTACCTTCAGTTTCCATTCATTACTTATACGTTATTGTTACTTCGTTCTGTGAAAATTTGAATCATCTGTCAAATACTGTTAACAACGAGAGAATAAATTACAAAATTCTTAAGAGGAAAAAGAATAGCAATTTAACCTTCTTGAGCTATTTCTCTGTGATTATAAATTATAACGAAGAATTTTCTATCGTAGATTGTCTGATTGTTTCGGAAATGACAGAAGAGAAGATATAAAGTTCTAAACCTTCTCGGAGTGTTTCTCTATGATAATAAATTATAACGAAGAATTTTTTATTCTAGATTCTCTGACTGTTTTAGATATGCAAATATCGAAGTTATCGATGAATTCAAAATCCGATCCTGTTAGTTTTCCAGGAGACGAGTCATCGTCCGTCCTTCATGGACGTTACGCTATTGGTGACACACGCGTCTCGTTTCCTTCTTCTCGATCCTCTTTGTACGTTGACTCCCCGGCTTCGGAGGAGGACAGAGCCCCGTCCTAGGGACCTTCGTTCGTCGCGGTATGTAAATACGTGGAACGAGACGACTCCTCATCTCGAACGACCGACCGCGGTGCATCGTATCGTATTCTGCCGCCATTTGTCTTCGCGATCCGGGATTACGTTACCACGATGATACACGATGACATTTATTTTGGGATTTGTACGGGTCTCTGTGGCCCTTCCCTCTACGGTGTGGATTCTACGTGAACGCATCTTTCGTCGGACTGCTTGCGCGTCAGTTCCTATAATGATCACGGAATGCTCTCAAAACTCGAATTTCGCCGTCACTGCAAAGTGGACATCCAGAAATAATTAGGAGATTGCGTGGTCAAAGAGAGGAAAACCGGTGACTCTAGAGATATTTAGGTTGCCGTTGTATTTTCGCGAGTCTTCGGACTTCTTCGTACTTCTTCGTTCTTCAAATATTACTTTCTTATCAATTGTCATAGCGTTGATAGAATAAGCTTGGAATCTCAAGCTTGAGATCATCGCTGAAGCAGTAAATGTTAGGATTTCTTAAATGCGAATTTTGATGTGTACGGATTGTGATCTTTAAGGTTTTTAACTTCTACATCTATATAAGCATATAGGTACATATATTATATAATAGTCGTGAATGAGACGTGATTCGAAAAGTGAGCATGACAAGGAAGTATCATCTTATAGAGTATCATCTTAATGTCAAATATTATTCATTAGAAATATACGTGGAAAATCGTGTACGAATCGAAAAGACAAGTGAACGCATTGCTGAAAGATGTTGTAAATAAATATGTTTAAATTTTTGTGTACGAAAAGCAGAAACTGGTTAAACCAAACAACAATTCAAGCTTCCGTAGTTGCTTTTCGTAAAAAAAGAATAGACAAAATATATCACTGAATTGTTAATTATTCGAAGTTGAAGAGCTTGAAGAAGTTAAACTGGGAGCTTCAAAAAGTTCAATTTCATATCGCCCTACAATCTCTGCCTTTAAAGCTCAAAATCTATGATTCCTCGTGAAGTAACGTATGTAAACAGAACACGATGGAAGATCGATAGATTCTTGCGATTCGAAATTGAATAATCGTGTGAAAATTGTGTAAACGCAGATGCCGTTAAGGAGCCATCACCCCATCGACGAGATACGGGATAAAAAGGGAGCACGTGGCAAAGATCAAACAGCTGGATCATCTCGTGCGTGCGTGCCTTTAGGTAAGGATCTTTTTCTTGCGGAAAAGGTGGGTACACGTTCGACCCAGGTGCAACCTCGGAAACCTTGGAAGGCGTGCGTGACAATGCTCGTATGCGCGTGTGGGATTCGTCGTGACGTGAAAGTCGTTCGAAACAAGAAAAGAGAGAGAAAAAAGAAAAAGAAGGCACGGCTTCCCTTCGACCAGTATAACATGAAAAACAGAAAGAATCTACCTACCACGTATGAAATACGATAGCTTCTCGTGTAATTTCATTAATATCCACTTATCAATAACATTTCAATGGGAAGAGATGTAACTATGCAATTTTCCCACGAAGAGACAGATGCGTGGTGAGGAAGTTACAATGGATATAAAATATAAACGTATAGGTAGAGAATAGAGGCAGCTACGTCACAGAGGAGTTACGTCAACGCGACGTCGATGTTGGCAAAGAAATCAGGAAACAACGAAGCGAATGACGCGCCTATATGAATAGCTATGCACGCGCCAAGCATCGAGCATGTAATTATCGTATGTTTAAATTTTACGGATCAATCGCCGAAGAAGCGTGGGTAGCTTGGAAGCGAAATATAGCAGAGATAGGTTCGAAAGTGCGAGTTTCCTAGAAGGCATCAGTTCGATCGCGTCTCATTAAGGCTAATGACGTAGATGGCATAATTATTCTAATACGAGAGAGGTAATTCATCCATCCCGAACCTATCAATTCATTGTAATTATACGAAGCATACGTTCCACTTTCTGTGGACTTTTTTTTACCAAATTACACGTCTCACGGCAGTCGGGCGTGCAACAAGGAGATCATGATTTATCGAACGAGACTCGGGTCACCGGAAATTTTATTAATCTAACAGATATTCCTCCTTCTTCTTCTTATTGAATTAATAAAACGGGATCCTACTATCCGGTAAAAAGGACCGTCGCGTCGCGCGTCCATTAATATAGAAACGCGTAGTTAATACGTCGCAAATGGTGTCTGCGTGTAACGCTTAAAAGGAAGTAGACGAGCGTTGAATATATTCATGGCACACGAGTTCCTAAAATAAATCGACTTGAGTATTCTGCACTTTACGGTTCTCCGTGTGGTATCGGACTGTCGTCGTCGCGTCGTTCGGTTCTTCCGTTAAAGAAAAAGAAAAAAAAAGGATAGAAAAGGAAAAAGATGGTAAACACGAGCGTCTAGAAAAAATTCAAATGGTCGGAGCGACGACCACTTAGCGAGTACTCTCGACGTAGTGGACACGTGTCTAAAGCGTGGCTAGAACCTTAACCACGTGTCAATATCTCAAGGGACGTTTTGTTTACGAAAGTCATAGACGAGGCGAGACACGTTAAACATTTTTATCCAAGACGTTGAAAAATGAAGAAAAAGAAATTGCCGAACACTTTGCTATGCCTACCATGCGCGAGCTACAACGATCGCGTATACATAATACGTTTCATGGTTCGTTCCACCGAACGACATACCGTACCCGTTTCACGAGATGAATAACACTAGAGACTCGCAAAAACCGGAACTCTAGCTTGCTCATTTTTTGCTCGCTTTTTCCAAGTCGTTTCACGGTATCAGTTCCGCGAGAAATTGTTTTCCAGTATCGTCGTAGTTTACGTTTACGAACGGTCATCGGAGAAAAAGCAGTCACGTGATCCCCATCGGCGCGCGCACACTTGTTGCGCACCGTGTAAAGAACGCGCCAATAAATAATAGACGCTACTTGTTTTACTCACGTCGTCGCAGCAAGAAGAAGGAAAGAAGAACGAGCAAATCGTCTGGAAGGCATCGATCCCCGTCGAGTCTTAGGATTCTCAGCATCCAACGCAACGTGTTCCTTATCAACGAGCTTTTGCGCGCGCAAGCACGCATCCTCGGCGCGTGGGCAGGCCCGAGTAGAGAAACCAGTAAAAGAGACTTCCCTCTCTGTCTCGTTCTTCTCTTCCGCCGAGCGAATCCACCACGATTCTCTTTCTCTGTCTCGTCATCGGTTACCTTGCCGGTAAAAACAGCACGAGGTGGCCGGTCGCGCGAACAAGAGTAGGGGGATAGGCGTGGTTCAATTCTCGTAGGTGCACTCGGAAACGATAGTGTTCGTGTGCCCACCTCGCGCCTACTGAGCTCGGTTAGGCCGACGTGAACACGAAGGGGGGCGAGTCTGGCCGAACAACAAAGGTGGTGGGGATAGCTGTCACGGGCCGAGCAGTGGGGAGAGAAGGGGAGTTAAGGTTCGCACACACGAAAATCAGTGGGGACGCGGCCTGTGCACGTGTAGAAAGAGAGAGGGGCGAAGGGAGTCGAACACGGCCGAAGGTG